TATTGATAATAACGGAGTGTTCTTTCATGGACTCTGGAAATATCAGAGGTGTGTTTTGGGATGTGACAGAAGGGAGGCTGGTTGCATGGTTGTTTGATTTTCTACCCATTTCTTGAACAGCAACGGCGACACCGGTTCGCGTGTACGCGCTGCGTAGTAATTGGGCCTTGGAAACTGTAGTGGAGGAAGGATTTGGCATATTTTGATTGATGAGTACTTGCTGATTTGTCTTCGTGTGGCAGCTTTCTTGGTAGAAGGCTTTACGTTATCCCCTGTGTATTTGACGCGCCTTTCCATGTACCATCGGTCAGGGATAAACCCCTTCTCTCTGTTTTCGATGCTGTCGGCAATTATCATGGGGAGGGAGAATAGGTTGTGTCATGACAATTGCCACAGCATCACGAACAAATGAATGCTTTGTTTTTTTTTACTATGCCCGATTTGCAAAGTTCGGGATTTGATTTCGTGAATGGCATTACAAGTTTTTATGCGATTTTATTTGGTGTGCTTTCCGTACCCAAATGTCACAGGATGCGTTTGTCAAGTAGAGGGTTGATCCCTTAACGTCTGGTGTTCGGAGCAGGGGGGCCGTAACCAGACTGCATTGGTAGGGTATACAGGAAGGAAATCTATTGCTCTGTTGTCGCAGGATGTTTTTGTCAAGTAGAGGGTTAATCGCTTAACGTCTGGTGTTCGGAGTAGGGGGGCCGTAGCCAGACATGTATTTGTAGGGTATTCAGGAAGGAAAATTGTTGTTCTGTTGGAAATTGAAGGGAGGTTATATGCGTAGGGTGACTAGTGCCAGAGGAAAGGGGGGGGCTGTCTTGTGGCGATCCCCGACTCCAACTTGCGTCACGCTGTCAACCACGCAGGCAGCATGTGTAGCGATGTCACATGTTTCGAGGACATTTCGTTTCTGAGGCAGGTTTGGCGTTCGGTATTGTCGAGGTCCTCTGTATTGGTTTGTATCTTCATGGCATTCTTTTGGACATCGGATTCAAGATTGACCGATATAAAATACTTGCTGCAGCAGTGTTTTTGGTTTTATGGTCGGTTGTATTTTCGTGATGTTCGTTGAGTATTGAAATCAAGACCGGCCGATAGGAAGTACTTCAGAGTTTTTGGTTTAATGGTCGGTTGGATTTTCGTGATATTCTTTTGGACATTGAAATTCAAGGTTGACCGATAGGAGATACTTGCAAGTGTTGTTGGTTTTTTATGCTCGGTTGGATTTTCTTGGTGTTCGTTGAATGTTGAGTTGAAGACTGGCCGATAGGAAGTACTTTGAAGTGGTCTCGTTGGTTCAATGGTCTTCGTGTTGTTTTGAGGATGATGTACGGAGTAGAAGAAGAGCATTTGTTTTTGCAATCATGATGATAATTTGATATTGGGGATTTCGAATTCATGAGCAACCGATGGATTCTTGGTGATGTTCCTGGCTTGATGGTTTGCAACCGATGGGAATGTCAATCAGTGTATCTGCTTTAATGGTTTTTCGTGAATGTTTTGATCTTTGGAGATTCTGGATACAATGGAGACCGATGGAGATTCTGGTGGGTATTGCCGGTTTATTAATGGTTCGCGACCAATGGAAACTCAAACTAGTATTTCTGGTTTAATGGTTTATTTTTGCTGCAAGAGAAAGAGGAGGAGATACGACTCTTCTTGCACATTGACATTGATTTCTGGAGTGTTCGAGATGGGTTTTGCGTGATACGTAAGTCCGGGAGTAATCTTGACAATGCAGTGAGCAGGGGGGCTGTTGGATGTACTCACAGCATTGACAGATTATTGCAATCAAGGAACGTTCCGAGCAGATGGAGCGGGGGAATCTGGGGGTTCCGCAGTTGTGATGAATTGGGAGAATCGTGGTACCATCTTTGCCACATATTTTTGCTTTCTGGGTAAATTATACGTGTCTGCATGCAACGGCGCTGGCCACGTGCCCTTGGATGATAATTTTCATCTTCCTTTGCCCGGCTATCACGCTCTGGGCTTTCACGCCCGCGTCCATACTACATATCCACCAGCTATCAAGCGGCCAGGCTGTCACGCCTCTAGGCTATCACGCCATCACAACAGCTATCACAACACCATCGTCAACACATCAGAGCCATCATGCTCCGAAACATCACAGATGCGGCGGGTTACCACACCCGCGGGCAGTTTACTGTATTTCATCGTTGCCGGTAAACTCGCCGCCCGGTTCTTTTATTTTTGCCGTCTACAACTGCGCCGGGCGCACCAAGCTCTCCAACACCTGTAAAACGCGGCGAGCGGCGCAACTTTGGCCGATATGTAGTTCCTTTTTTTCCCTCCTGAGGACGAAGGGAAAAATGTCGCCCGCTTCGCTCGCTCCGCGTCTCATTATTAGTACACTCCCGTGTCTCCGATATACTACTGCTGTTGTGTAGCTCTCACCAAACACAAGGGCATGCAGTGGGATTTGCGTCACACCCACCACATTGATTGCTGCTCATCTTGACACTACAGTAACGCCGGTGCGGGACGGGTCTTCCGAAGTGAGGGTCGCTTGGCAGCGGATATCCAATCCCTACCCAGGTAGTTCTTCTCTCCGCCGATGATACTATTTGATGTTTAGTCTACTTTTTATTGTACATGATGCAAACATACTGCTGCTTGCAAAGTAAAGCGAGTGGTGAGCGTTAGTCTATTACTGTTGTAAAATGCTATGCATACTACTGTGCGACTGCTGTCGCACCAGTGGACATACCTCCAGTGACGGCCGTGTCAAGAAATATTGTCACACGCAAGTATTCCCGTCTAAGCTCGTACCTTTGAAACGGCGTGGCAACTGGACCAAGCCGCCGGCACTTGTACATTCAACTGTAGTCTACATACTATATACATAAATCCTCCATGGGGGCTTCTCGCAATCAAGGAAAGACTAGACTGTTAGTCTATCATGGCCTAAGTTCGCTAAGGAAATGTAAGCGCCAGCGTGTGATATGCTCAACAATCACAACGGCCATCAACTTTGGAGGTACACTCAACCCGTACAGGCGACACACCGTATATACAGATGGCGCCCGCAGTTAAGAACCGCTAACTATATTGGCCAAGGCTCGATGCTTAGATATTGGCTGCCTCAAATTGAGCACCTGTTCTTATTTTCAAAGTTCTTATTTCGAGCAGGCATATCCTTATGATACACGGGGTTCTGTTCTTACTTGTACGCCGAGGGCCCCAGTCAGAGGACATGTTTTTTTCTGGGTGGATTCAGCCTGACACTTACTTGAGAGCAGCGTGTTCATATGCATAGAACAGAGTATGATAATAGACCGTCGCTCAATAGAGACCTCTGGCTTCGACGTACCGCAGATCACGATAGGGTAGAGTTAGATAAAGATACAGACGTGGTATCGCCTGAAATAATGACCCATCTGACCCATTTGAGCAAACACGTTGAACTATTTAGAGGTCCACCAGGGCCACGTTCGGCGCGATTGTCCTCCCCGCTCTATCTACTACATTGCGCCCTGCTCTTCGAACGCCGGACCTCCTCCCTGCTCCACGGCGCGCTCCCCTCAAGCAATGCCCACGACCCTACCACCGCACCCGCATCTCCACTGTGCTTGTCCAACGGTATTCATGCGGCGCTTTGGTCTACACGTAGCTCGAAATGCACAGGCTAGTAGTCGTAAAAGGTGGCGGGTACGCTCCTGAGACGGCCGAGTGATCAGCTCACCATAACAGCCCATGCTCAGTTTTACGAGTACCCCACATGCAACAACGAACTGTCAAGAGCAGCGGGTTTATAAGATGCTTGAAATCGAAAACCGGTAGGTGCGACGAAGGAAGAGGTGTCGGAAAGCTTTCGTCGCCCCCGCGTCGACTCGATGGCCTCCCAGTCTGACTTCGTGGGCAGTTGCCAGCAATGATATAGCTCTAGTCTAGTCTAGTCTATGTTCTTCGGCGGCCTCTAAGTAAGTGTCGATCAAGAATTACACCTCCTTTCAACTTTGACAGCTGGCCGAGCTCTTTCAATTTTTCAAGGGGAAACGACATGGCCCTCGTGCATGGCACGCAGCGTGGCAGGCACCCCAATGACACGCGACGAGGGGCATGCCTCGTACAACAAAGCTAAGCACCTACCCCCCCTCCCCCCCCCTGCACCGACCAAGGTAAAATGTGAACGCGGCTCCGAGTGCGAACAACCGGGTTCATGTAGTCGCGGGATGTCTGTTGTACAAGGAGGAGAGGAGATTTTACGTGGCTGAAGCTTGAGAAAGTATAAGGAAGATACAGGGAAATGTTTGAGGCATGGAATACCAGCTAGGAGAGAAGACGGTGGTAGCTGTATTGGGACATAGAACGTGGGTTGAAGAGAGGCGGCAAGTGACATTGATAGACCATATAGGATGGATAGGCTAGGGAAACAAACGTGTTGAGACACCATTTTTTGGTTATAAAGTGGGAGGGAACGATTGACCATCGGTCTTTGGAACAATACTCCGTCCTCTCGAGGACGCGTGGTCAATGGTATAGACTAACCACTAAAATATGCAAAACACAAGAAAGAGTACGCCCCCCTTCCCCCCCCTCCGCACCGGTAATATTTGAAACGGAGATCCGCCTCCTCGTCGCTGATTTGACACCACTCACTGCCGGTGGGTGGGGTGTCCGTGAGTTCTTATCTTCTTGCAGCTGCCACTTGTTGGGGGTCTGTTCGTATCCGTAAGCGCTTTGCTACACCACAAATACGGGTTCTTGCTACTGTTGGGAGAATTGTGTGCAAGAACTGACTCTATTCTACTGCAGGGTTTCGTGCAGTATGGTCAAGGTGTGTATCCAAGTCTGTAACCGTCAGGTGAAGACAGCTTGGACGCCGATGTGTGAAATAATGATCACTCTGTGTTTCTCTACCCGAGCCTCTTGCGTCACATACGCCAACCACAACGTACAAGAGCGGTGAGGTCCCGCTAGTACGCCCAAAAGGTTATGAGCCTCGCGCGGTAGGGGAACCACGTTGAGTCAACATGGCGCGATCATTGAACCATCTCCAGAGGGGTTATGTGCCGTTCAGCGGGGATCCGGCCCAATTCGAGGGTTGGGTCACGCTGACTCGGTCCCTCATGTCCGAAGCTGGACTGAGTAGGGTCATGTCGGGAGCGGAGATTGCTCCTGCGCCTTTGCCAGCGGGAGCGACCGACACTCAAATCGCGGGACACGAGAAAATTGCCCTAAAGTTCAAGGAAAAGAACGGAAACGTGTACACGAGACTGCTTCTGGCCACGTCTGATGGCCCGGATGGATACTCCAGCCCTGCTTCGCAAGTGGTACAGCAGCATGGGCCAGTCGGTGACGAGGAGTATGGTGATGGACGAGGTACGTTCGTTGCTCTCCAGCAGAAATACCGTGTTGAGGGTGTATTTCGCATGCAACAGATCCATGGACCATGAGGAGCTTACTTCCGTGATGGTCACTGCAGCCGACAAATACGACCCGGCCCGAGCGATTCAACAGTTGCGCCGCATCTGCCTCGAACTGGACAAGTTAGGAGATACAGTTATGGAAACACGGAAAGCAGGTGCCCTACTACGAGCCCTCCCTTATGGACAGTATGGCTCGTTCAAGAATGTCCTGATGAGCGAAAAGACAATCCTCGGAAGCGTATTCGAGGAGATAGCGCGCCGTGAAACTTCGTATCATGCCATGCAAATTCGCGGAGAAATGTCTGAACATGGTGACGGTTCAGGCAGCCACGGCCGTGCGTTGAACACTAACGCGCACGAAGGAGCACGTGGTCTCCGCAGGCGTGGCGGCCGTGGCGGCCGTGGCGGCCGTGGTGGACGCAGCCGCCGAGGTAATGGCGGCCGAATTGCAGACGGTTCGACCAGTGGAAGTGGGTCGAACGGCAACAACAACAACAACGGAACCTCCGGAGGAGACAACGCGGGAAATGCGCATGGCGGACGCGGGAATGATCGCAGGAGCCGAAACTCTCGAGGTCATGGTCGGGCTCAGGATACCGGCCGCAACCGTCAAGGACGTTGCAGATACTGCCGTAACAGCACCGAGCACGGGTGGGACGAATGCCCGCTCCGCCGGAGGCACGAGGCGGAGGACAACAACACATGACAGGTGCACAACACGCAAGACTCGACCACGCAGGCTTGGTACACGCGGGTGGAGGCGGCGGACGATGAGCTTGAAGATTTCGCCATCGTCTTCGATAACGACAAGCAGGAGCTGAACGCCCCTGCTGTGGCGTTGCCGAGGGAGCGCGCTGCTGCTGGTGACCAGGAGCAAGACGCGGCTGCACGGGCGCTGCCGGACGGAGTCGTAATATATGATCCGCAAGTATGGGAGTGCGCTGCTTGCTGGAGATGAGCAGACGACGCACGATGTGCCCGAGTCGGCGCTGCCGAATGTGCGCGCCACTGACGACCTGCAGGAATTCGCGGAGCCTGCGGCAGCGGCGGACCTCGATCTCACTACCCCTCCTGACTCTCCGGCCGAGAAAGTGACAGAGCTGGTAAGGTACACTAGCGTGTTTTCAAGTGGACAAGGAGTCGAAGTATGTTGTTGGTGATACGACGCTCTACATAGATATATACTCGTAGCATAGCATGCGGGTGGTATATTGCGTATACATATGCGGGTATTGCAGTGACGAACTACGGACGAACAAGAAGTTTCTTTATGTTCATCACGTGCCTGAGCGGGTCTGGGACCCTAGTAGCAGAAGTGAAAATTTGGATGTCCAACTGTATTTTTTTTTGTTTTGGTGCAGCAGTCACCCCTGTGCAGAACCGGGGGGAGTGTTGTGGAATGTGATTCTCCTCAGGAGTGCTGTTTTATAAGGAACTGATTGTGCCACCATCTTCCCTTCCGAACGCGCGACCTGCCCTCCACCGCTGCCGAGTCAATCCTTCTAGAGCTACAATTGTGGTCTCCCCCAACGAAGGCGGACGATTTACTGACGATGCTCCAGCCGCGGCCAGCCGGACGAAGAGCACAGAAGGCGACCGCGGCG